ATGCAGTTGTCGGCTTCTACTGAGTGGGATGCTGCCGTCAAGCGGAACTTCAGCATCGACAAGATGTTAGCATCCATGGCGAAGAAGTCCGAGGCTGGGGTTGCGAAGCGTATACGCATGGCAGGTGCAATGAACAATCGTGGGCGTTTGTTGCATTTCTATGGGCTCGGCCTTTGCCTCGCTTCGAACGCTGACGACCGAGGGGAGTACAAGTTCGAAGTAGCATTGCTGTCGCGCTACCAGGCTGATTTTGCATCCTATACTCTGAAGAAGTTTTTGGACGATTATGTGGCCATCGATGCGCAGGGGCTGACAGTTTCGAGGTCTGTTGAGATTCAGAAGCTGCAGGAAGAGTTCTCCCTCACGAAAGTGAAGGCATTCTTCGTTCAGTTGCTGAACGGCTTTCGTGACCTGACACTCTCCGATGGCGCTGCCGCGCGAATCCACCACTGCGCTCGGGCGAGCGTCTGGGGGAGGGGAGTGGGGGTATAGGGGCGGAGGCGAGGAGGGGGCAGGTTCAGTGAACGTCCGATGTGGGGGCATGTTGCGTGTTTTTGAAAGCAGCGAACGCGGAGGAGGAGGAGGAGGAGGAGGAGGAGGAGGAGGAGGAGGAGGAGGTGGCGCACAAGGAGGAGGGAGGAGGAACATGGACGGACAGTTCGCTTCTAGTGCGCCGTAAGAAGCGAACCTGACAAAACCCAAGGGTCCGACGCACCAGCCGCTCCAAGCGCGGCTGCGGATCTGGCATCCAAGCCTTCGATTTCAATCATCTGAACAACGTGTTGATTTCCCGGGATCACCTGCATATACGGCTCATCGACATCGATGGGGAGAGTCGAGGCTCTATCCAGTTTCCGTCAGAGTACATCCAGCTGCTTGCGGCAAGTCCCGCCGCTGTGCCAGGCTAGCATTCAGGGTGGCGACTGTTCGAGGGGCACGGGAGGCCGTCACGTGTGACACCTCGTGTCCCCAGGATTGCGATGTCCGTGAAGAGGATGAGGACGATGATGTTGATGCTGATGTTGGTGCTGATGTGATGCTGATGGAGATGGTGATGGGGATGATGATGATGATACAATGATGGTGGTGATGATGATGCTGATGAGGATGATACTGATGAGGATGACGAGGATGATGAGGATGATCAGGATGATCAGGATGATCAGGATGATCAGGATGATCAGGATGATGAGGATGAGGATGAGGATGAGGATGAGGATGAGGATGAGGATGATGATGATGATGATGATGATGATGATGATGATGCTGATGATGATGATGATGAGGATGATGATGATGATGATGATGATGATGATGATGCTGATACTGATGCTGATGCTGATGCTGATGCTGATGCTGATGCTGATGCTGATGCTGATGCTGATGAGGAGCAGGAGGAGGAGGAGGAGGCCGTCGAAGGGCCTTCTGCGGCCGTCTTATGTCTCTTCGGAGGCCGCCTCGCAGACCTCTTGGGCCACCGCTGGGGCCGTTTTGGGCCGCCTCGGAACTCTCCTTGGGACCCCTTGGGCCGACTCTTGGGCCATCTTGGAGGCTTCTCGGGCCGTCTTGAGCTAACAAAAAACCCGAAAAACTGAGAATGCGAACATCTTTCCACAAACCATTCGGGGCTCCATGATTTCGGCTGCTTCGAGACCTCTTGGGGGTCTTCTTGTGGTCCTCTTCGGCGCCCGTGGGGCCGTCTTGAAGCTACCTTGGAGCGCCTCGGGGCAATCCTGGACAGTCTTGGAGGCATCTTGGGCCATCTTGGCGGGCGTGGTTGCCTGTTTGTGCCGTCTTGGAAGTTCGGGAATGCGGCTTCACAGTTTTTCATGAGGGATCGTGCCCTCGGGAGCGCTGATCCACCGTCTTTCACGAGGGATCGTGACCTCGGGTGGGGGGCGATTCATGCACATGTCCGCTGGTAGAGGGTTGGGGACCCTTCAGAAGACTACAGAAACACTGCCAGATTGTCCTTGGCATTCTTCCACTCAGCGTGCCAGGGAGCACGGTGGCGGATCCAAGGTACAAGCCATGAGCTTGATTCTGTCCAGCTGCACATGCCCGCTTTGAACGTTGACCTGTCACTCCTTCTTCCCCGCTTGATGCGGTGTTTGGTTCTGGGTAAGGGCCGTGGGGAGCCTTTTGTGAACCAGAAAGTGTCCGAGATCTGCCGCGCCACGTCTGATGAGAAAGCGAAAGGTATCATCCAGGTAATTGTCCAGGAAAATTTTTATCCGCATTTTCACAGTGTCTCGAAAGATGTGAACAACGAGATGGAGAGGCACCTCGGGAAAGTGGTCGAGTGGTTTCACGCAGTGCTGCTGAAGAGGAGTCCCTGGACCAACTGGACGCACGACCTCTACGACGCCATGCGGTGCATCGACCACTTCCCCATCGCGTAGGCACGATGCTCTGGACGAAGTCTCGGATCGCAGCCACACATGGTGCCCTCCTTCTGCTCCTCCTCCCCCTCCTCCTCCTCCTCAGCCGTTCTGGCTCAGGCCAGTTGACGCCTGAGCTTGACGAGGCAAACTTCAGAGCGGCCTGCCTCGTCGGGCCAAAAAGGCTTTTTGAGATTTCTCACATCTCCAGTCTGACCGCATGGCTGGCGATGGATCCGTGCTTCGAGGCCCTCGTATGCCTCATTGGTCTTGTTCACAGTGCTCCCGTACTGCGAATTGGGCCTGCCGTATCAAATGTCTTTGTGGTGCTGCTGCTCCTGGCCGTGTGGCACAAGCAGCTCGCAAAGCGGAGAAGGAGTGGGGCCAGCGGCCAGCCCCATCTGCGCCGAGACAGCCGAAGGGTGCATGGGCCAACGGTCCGCCGACGCCTGACCTGGTTGCGTCCATCACGGCTGCGATCGAAAGGAAGTTCGACCAGAAGTTCAAGAGCCTCAAGGACCCGAAGGCTCAGGTCCCCGAGGCTGCCGGTGGTGATGCTGCTCCTCCTGGTGATGAGCAGGAGCAGCGTGGCGCCCGCATTGACTCCCTCGAGAAGGCTCTCAAGCAGCTTGGCGATGTCGACTCCTCCGACCCTGCCAGAGCCTGCCTCGAGGAGCAACTTCGTGCTGCCCGCAAGGCTCAGCGAGAAGCTAAGCCACAGCTGCAGCAGCACACCAATGTGGCTTTCAGGCTCCAGGCGGCGCAGCGCAAGCAGGCCAAGGCAGCTGAAGCCGTCACTGCCCAGCAGAAGGTTATCGAGGCGGCGCAGAAGTCACTACTTGAGCTGCAGGAGAAGCAGGCCGCATGCCAGCGCGAGGTGGCGGCTTTGGAGGAGGAGCTGCGCCGCACCATGCCTGCAGGCCCTGGCACCAGCTCCCAGTACATGGACGTCAAGCTGGAGCTCCCCACGGAGGTGCTGGATGATGAGGCGAACGCCGACGTCAAGCAGCTCTTGTCCAGCGCGGCCTTTGCCAAGCTCCAGGAGCTCTGCAGAAAGGCTGCTCCTCCCCCGCCCACCGCTGCAGGTGCTGCAGGCGGAGCCGACGGGGGAGGCGGGGCTGCTGCTGCCGCTGACCATCCTGCTGCCGCAGCACCGCCCGAGGGAAGGGATGCTCCAATGCCGCAGGCCCAATTTTCGGGCTTGTCAGCTGATGATATCGATACTCTCTTCCAGACTGAAGATAAGCGTGAGTTTGAGGAGCAGCTGGAGGCTTTGGGAGTCAAGCGTCAGCGTACGTCGCCTTCCTAACCCTCCTTACCTGAGCGGTCTCCCAGTTTCGTCTATGGGCCACATCGTTCCGCAGCACAAGGGTTCAAAGTCGTCTTCTGCTGCTGGTGGCCCACAGTTTCTGGAAACGTTCAATGGTAATTGCCGTGCCACGCTCCTCGAACGTTTACGATCTAGTGATTCGATGGTGGTTTGTGCGCAGGAGATTGGTACTGGCCCTGATGCAGTACCTGACCTTCAGCGTGCTGCTCGCACCGCAGGTTTCCGAGCTTTATGCAGTCCGTCGCGATGTTGTGCACGTGGCTCACACTCAGCGGGAGTGGCCATATTTGCTCGGCAGCATCTCGGATTGCGATGGAATCCTACTGGCGGTGAGCTTGTCAAAGGTCGGCTCATTTCAGCAGTTGTTGATATCCCAGGCTGGCCTGAGCTCGTGGTGTATTCTGCATACTTTCATGATAGTGTTGGATTGGATATGGCCAATATGAACCTGCTGTCGGTGCTTGGGGCTTCCATTAGCCGCTCTGCTGGATCGTTCTTGGCAGCTGCTGATTGGAATGTTGAGCCTGGGGTGATCGAGCAGAGTGGCTTCACGCGCAAGGCTGGACTTATCACGATGGCACCAGCTCGGCACACGTGCATTATGTCGACCTCGGCTAGTACAATTGATTTCTTTCTGGCATCTCAGGACATCGTCAGGGCAACGGAGAAGGTTCGTGTGTACTCCCAATGGCATGGAGGACCTCACAAGCCCGTCCGACTCCACCTTCGCCCTGATGCGGTCAACCTACGCCAGCTGGTTTTCTGTGCTCATACACGATTCCCTGTACTTCCTCCTTCTGGTCCACGTCCCGAACCACGATGCTGTGTGGCAGCACGGCAGATGGCGGATGAAGCAGTATACTCAGCAGAGTTTGATTCGATTGGCACAGCATGGGCTAGGCTCAATCAAGCATGGACGGTTTTTCTGGAAGATGCCGAGATTGAGATCGCAGGTGCCTTGGACTTCCCCATTCAGAAGCTCACCAGGCATAACTATCTTGCACGACGATGGGTACCTGTTCTGGGACGCAAGGATCACGCACAGGATCCGATGCTCATAGCTCGCGGCTGGCAGTGGCTGTACCGTGTGTGGCATGAGTTCGAGTTGATGGTTCAGCAGCGTGATGAGCTTCACCACAACACGGCTGCCATTTCTCTTAAGCAGACTTGTCTTGTGGAGAATTACCCTGGCGAGGGCTTGGATGTCAGGCTCGACTCACAGGTCATCGCTTTGAGACAGCTCATCCATGAGCACCCCGAAGTTTATCCTCATGAGTGGTGGGATCGGGCTACTCTCTTTGGCGAACATTTGTCTGTGGAGTTTGAAGTAGCTACGAAAGAATCATTACGCTTACGGCAGCAGTCGTGGACGGAGTGGTGTGACACTGCCCTCAAGGGTTCGGCTAAACTGATGCATAAGATCACGCGACTCCAGAAGGTATGGTGCCCCACAGTGGTTCAGAAGGCTCCTGGCATCTACTCCAGCAGTCCTGAGGAGGTGCTCAACTCGGAGGTCGGGATGCTGCAGCAACAGTGGAATGCGTCGACGTCGCCCCCACGCGCTGAAGTACCTGATCGCGAGTGCTTCCCGCGGGCCACTGCTGACGAGCTGCGGAGTGCTTCTCGGTCCTTTTGCCAGTTCACGTCATCGACTTTGGATGGCTTTCATCCCCGACATATATCGCTTTTGGGTGATCCAGCTCTGGAGACCCTCAGTGCATTGTTTGAAGCAGTGGAACGACTAGGACTTTTTCCTCGTCACTTCATGTGGATGGTATTTCCACTTATTGAGAAGCCAGCGGGAGGGCACCGTGCCATCCTCTTGTTGGCCAGCTTTGTGCGTGTATGGGAGAGGCTCCGCCGTCCCATGCTGGATCCGTTCTTTGCGGCCACGGAGAGGGCCTACTGGGCCTTTGGGTCTGGGAAGAGCGCGGAGTCATGTGTGTGGGCCCAGACGGCCCTTGGAGAGATTGCCGCGGCGGATGATCAGGTGGTCCTGGGAGTCCAGTGGGACGGCAAGAAATACTACGAGTCTTTCTGTCTGGAGCGTCTGCGCGATCGAGCTCGACAATGGGGCATCCCTGGGGTGATTGTAAAAACGATGTACAACCTCTGGCGCTCTCCGCGGCTGATTAGGCTGGGCACTTCCTTCCATCCAGTTGCACTTTTTGCTCAGAGCGGCCTACCTGCAGGTGATATTTTCAACGATGCGTTCGTAAAGGTATATGCGATCGGGGCCTTCGACGCGTTTACGGCTCGCTTTCCACATCCTATTCGGCTGTCTTCGTATGTCGACGATGACACGATCATGGCGACGGGTACTAAGGCTGAGTTGCTTAGATTGATTCCAGATGCAGCGGAGGATTTTTATCACATGTTTCGGGGACAACTTAGAGCCGACATATCGGAAACTAAAGCTATTACGATTGCCAGCTCACCATCCTTAGCTAAGGCGCTAGCACATCAACTTCAGCTCCGAGGGCTCCCAGCAGGCACCATAACCCACTCGTCGGTGAATCTTGGGGTTGACTTTACACCAGCGCAGGTTCGGATGACAAAAGGGGCCCTCCGAAAGCGTCGTGAACGATTTCGCCAGTTTCGCCTTCGACACTCTCGGGTCCTTCGATTTCGTAAATGGTTATCTCACGGGAAACATCGAATGGCAGTAATACATCAGGCAGGCCTTAAACCAGCTCTTGCTTATGGCAGCTCTGTGCTTGGAATGTCGGACTACGAGCTACAGCGAGCTCGCGCCATACTGCTCAGTTTTCGCTCTCCATCGCATAGGGGTGGATCTTTGCTGTCGAAGATTGTGCTCCACGGCGACCCGATGGCCGACGTCAGTGTTGCACCAGCAGCTGCATGGAGTGTGGCAGTCTGGCAGGCCCTGGTTGCACCAGAGCGCGCTCTCTTCAGCATTCGAGAACTTCATCAGATGTTTCAGGTAGTTAAGGAGAGAATGGAGCCACATCACAGATGGCGACACACGAAAGGACCGATCTCGCGGATGCTCCTATCTCTCCGACGTGTTGGCTGGTCCGCTAAGAACTTCGCTCTCTGGGAGGATGATAAGGGGGTGGAGATCTCGCTCATGTACACGGCTCCTAACATGCTTAAGGGTTTGCTTCGTGATGCTGTTCAGCGTAAGCATGAACGTGATATGGCACGCACTGTAGATAATTTTGAGCATGCACGTGTGTGTTCTGACATTGTGCGTAGCATAGTGTGTACGTCTAAGAAGTATACGCCTAGGCAGAAGTATGCTGTAGCTAGTTGCTTTTGTAAGGCTGTGTTCACGTGCGACAGGCTAAACATAGATGAAGGCCTCTGTCCACGTTGTGGGGCCCCTGATAGTGTCTTCCACAGGCTCTGGGTGTGCCCTAGCCCCGAGGTTGCACAGGCCCGAGGAGAGGCTGCCACCCCAGAGATTGTTCAAGAGGCTTTGGAGGCTGGTCCGACGAACCCTTTTTGGACCCGCCTCATCTTTCCTCATCCCTCTCTCACCTTCCAGCCTCCCACTGATTGGGTCTATCCCGAGCTCTTGGATGCGCAAGGAAATGTCCTATCGGACTTCTCGTGTATCGAGGGAGCCAGCGATGTCGTCGTCGATGGGTCGTGCACGAGGCCTCCGATACGCGAGCTTGCGCGAGCTTCCTTTGCTGGAGTCTTCCTTGAGCGAGGCTCGGAGGAAGTACTGGCGAGGTTTCGTGGGCCGGTCTGGCCAAGTTTGCCGCAGACCCCTCAGGCAGCTGAGCACATGGGCTTAGTTGCCATAAGTTTCTTTGTCGGGCAGCTGACGCATCAGATTGGAGTTTTTTCGGACTGTCTGGGTCCCGTGCGGTATCATAATCAGTCGGCTGCCCTTCAGGTGTCTTCCAGGAACAAATATGCTGGGCTTCGGAGGGGTTTTTGGGAGATCCAAGGCTCGAAAAACGTCGGCCCTGCGACCCACACCCCTGCCCACCGAAGCATGGATGTAATTGATGCTCTCCCGCCAGATGAGCGTAGGATAGGACGTGCCAACTTCCATGCGGATCGTTTCGCGAAGGAGGCTCTAGCACTGCACGCACAGGAACCCCAAGAGTCCTGGGATGACCTCTCGGCCCTGGTTGCCAAGGCCCGTGCTGTGGCCCGTGTGATGGGGACGGTTTTGCCTCTGTTTCCTTTTTCCCAGTTCCCTGATCGGAGAAAGGTTCCTTGCCCTAGGAGCACAGGTGCTAACCGATGGCATGCATGGACGTCCGTCCCAGGTGCACCAGGCTCCTTCATTTGTTATGACTGTCATGCTCGCCGTACAGGTACGTGTGCTAATGCTTTGGATATGTCGGGCTGCCCAGGGAGGAGACACAACTTCTCTTTCCTGGGACAGCCCTCCCTCGGGCATGACCTGGTCTACACACGACTCTCGTCAGGTCCGAGTCTGGTCTTTTGCAGGCGCTGCGGTGCCTACAGCACTGAGCGTCTCAGTCGTCAGCTCGAGAAGCAGTGCCGAGGCTACGTGGTGTCTTCTGCCAGTAAATGTCGCCTCAATCGTATGCTCCGAGGCCTCCACCCCCAGTCCAATCGTGCCGCACCAGGTGTAGTGCTCCACATACTAAGTGATATGGAGCGCCAGAGGCTACTTGAGACCCAGCAGCGCCCTCGACGTGCTGTGTGGCTTCAGCGTCCTCAGGGTGATCTTCCAGGCACGGCTTTAATTCCAGGACTGGAGGGGATGAGGCAGCGGATAGCAGCTCGAGAGGAGGCGCGAGTTTTCCAGGAGCAAGTTTTGAGGGCCCCAGTGCTGCGTTCGAATGCACTGGAGCCCGAGGTCCTTGGGTCCCGTGACCATGCCCAGGGGTCCGTTGCCCCAGAGC